CCTTCCAAAGCCAGGTTAGGTGCCATCTGTCCGTTTTTCCCCGTAGCATCTCATGCTTATGTCTAATCCGAGCAGCCCGATCAGGCCGGGTTGTGACAGCAGGATCGCTGGTGTGTTTCTGCCACATGACTGGGAGGAAATAGAACAAATAGAACAGGAGTTGGGAAATAACCTCATTGTTGCACAGAGATTGTGGAGGTGGTTTCTGCAGCATGTCCTAGCCTATTCTGATTGATGCACACTTAGCATTTCTTGCATGGAAGTGAAGAGTCTCGATCTATCTCCTGAGGTTGTCAGCAGAATGAAATGATAATGCCTCTAACTCTAGCACGGTTAGTAGTTCTTCATAAATTTTAAAGATGATATGACCAACATTGGCAGGAAACCAAATGTCGTCATTAATAGCATGGACGCTGGAACCTGGCTACCTAGGTTCGAACCCCTGCTCTGCCATTAATCCATCAGTGTAGGAATAAAAACAGAATCTAGCTAAAAGGGTTTGTGTGAAGATTAAATGAGATAACATATGTGAAGTGCTGGTGCTTGGAATTCCTGGGTGTGTCTGTGTGGTTGGGGATGGTGGGTGGTGGTGGAAGCTGGCGCTGACAAGTAAGCAGAGGCAGAGTGTGCCCTTGGATTACAGAGATGGAGGCAGATCCAGGTTTGGGAGGCCTGATGCTTCTGTAGTTCTTGGTTCTGTAACAAAAGAATACAAAACTACGAATGCCGAGTTAGACATGAAAGTGAATGCTTACATACACATTTTATGAAGTTGTCCAGTACCATGAACATCACAAGGTTTTTCTGAAGAACACCTGGTATTTTTTATTAACGATTTGAAATCCTCTATTATAATCATTTTCCTACTATATTTGACTGCATAATCTTTAATCACCTTGCTATGGTCTAAATGTTGGTGTCCTCTCTACGTTTTTATGTTGGAACCTAATTTCCAAGGTAATAGGATTAAGAGATGGGGTTTTGGGAAGTGATTCAATCACAATACCCCACCCTCATGAATGGGACTTGTGCCCTTATAAAAGTGGCTTGAGGGAGCTCATTTGTCCCTGCCGCCACGTAAGGACTCAGCAAGAGAGTGCCATGTTTTAATCAGAGAGCAAGCCCTCACCACACACTGAGTTTGCTGGCTCCTTGATCTTGAACTTCCCCGCCTCCAAAACTGTGTGCAATACATTTCTATTGTTTATAAAATACCCAGCCTAAGGTATTCTGTTATGGTAACCCAAATGGACCAAGACGCATCTTTGTATAAACAAGGATTTTGTTACATTTTCCATAGAGAAAATAGAAAGATAATCAGCCTCTCTCTTCTAGTGTGGTTGATCATAAATTTGTTTTTATATGGAGGCTGGGTGCGGTGGCTCATGCCTGTAATCCCAGCATTTTGGGAGGCCAAGGCGGGTGGATCACCTGAGGTCAGGAGTTCAAGACCAGCCTGGCCAACATGGCGAAACCCCGTCTCTACTAAAAATACAAAAATTAGCTGGGTGTGGTGGCGGATGCCTGTAATCTCAGCTACTTGGGAGCCTGAGACAGGAGAATCACTTGAACCTGGGAGGCAGCGGCTGCAGTGAGCCAACATGACACCACTGCACTCCAACCTGAGCGACAGAGACTGTGTCTCAAATAATAATAATAAAACATAAAAATAAAAACATAATTTGTTTTTATATGGAGAGTTTGGAATTCTTTGTTTCAACTCCGTAACAAATGTCACATATAAGCGATATAAGTTTTTTTTAGGATGGTTGTCAAATTTGAGGAAATATCAAGCTCCTGTCGTGAATGAACTGTAATCTTCTAGGGCAGTTAAAGTTTTCTCACCCAGTGAATGCCTAATGCACAGTGACTCATTGAATTGGTAACACCCATAACCAGTATGTCCCCGTAACGTGGGTCAGGCGTTTGATATTATCTTCAGAGTTGTTAGTATTCCTTAGCAAATCAGTAAGCAAGTTTAAATCTATTCCGAGTGGGTCTGTGTAATTCACTCTCATCATTAGATTATCAAGCAATCCAAAAGCCTGACCATTGTTGTTATTTAAAATGTGTCTCTTATTCTCAATTCATTATGTTTTAGTGTTATCTGAAATTGATTTTGTTATGCTTCTCAGCGTCAGAATAATTTTCTTTGGTTTTATTGCTCATCTTTGTTTCTTTTTGTTTCATGTACCATTTTTTTACTATGTTAATTTTTCTAGAGGATTTCAAAAATATATTTAAAGATGCAAAAATAAAAGATACCCTTCATGTGTATCCGCATCAGGAGGCTGCAAATTTCTCACCTGTTTTACTAAAAAGTCCCCAAAACATCTTTCCAAAGTGTGATTAAAACGGAGCATTTCCAACTCAATCTCCCCTTAGCAAGACCCCAAAATGCCCTGAGCCAGGACATTGCCACTGATGGAAGAGAAATTCGATAAAGGGAAGTTAGAATGAAAAGAAACAGTGATCTTAATAGATGGCCACTACAGTGTCTTAATTTTTCAAACTTTACAAAAATATATGATCATGTCAACCTTTTGCCAGGGTCTCTCCCAGGGCTTAAAAGGTCCCGCAAGCTTAATCATTGAGTTAGGCACTGAACTGTGACCTGAGAATTCTTAGAGATTCATTTGTACTATGTACGAAGTTACTAACTTCTATTGCTGTTATGAAAATTAAGCAGACCTGGTTTTTCCCTTCAAGTACCTTTCAGGGAACACGAGGTATACATAGAAAGTATTTAAAAATAGCTTATTGGCAACTATCTTCTGTTATATATGTATATTTATAAAAAACTACTAGGAGGTAATTTTAGAGTCATACACAGTTGTAAGAAATAAAACAAATGAAACCCGTCCATGGTTATATTACGTTATCACCATCAGGAAATTAACATCGATACAACCCGCCAAATTTATACAGGTATCACCAGTTTTACATACACTTGTGAGTGTATATTTTTGTGCAATTTTATCACATATCCATGAGTTGCTTTATTAAAGTATCTTTTAATGCTTAATTAAAAAAAAAACCCTTCAGAATAATAAGCGTTTGGAATATAACTGAATACAGATACGTATAATCTTGCATTTAAGATTTGGATTTTATTCTGAAGGCGGGAAAGGGCCAGAGGATGGTCTGGCTGGAGCAGGCTACCCATCGGACGGGTGCTGTTCACCTCGAGGGTCTTTTTTTTTTTTTTTTTTTTTTTTGAGACGGAGTCTGGCTCTGTAGCCCGGGCTGGAGTGCAGTGACCGGATCTCGGCTCACTGCAAGCTCCGCCCCCCCGGGTTCACGCCATTCTCCTGCCTCAGCCTCCCGAGTAGCTGGGACTACAGGCGCCCGCCGCCTCGCCCGGCTAGTTTTTTGTATTTTTTTAGTAGAGACGGGGTTTCACCGTGTTCGCCAGGATGGTCTCGATCTCCTGACCTCGTGATCCGCCCGTCTCGGCCTCCCAAAGTGCTGGGATTACAGGCTTGAGCCACCGCGCCCGGCCAACCTCGAGGGTCTTAGACCCTTGCTCTGGGTAGAGTGCTGAGGGGACACTCCTTGCCCAGCAGCCCCTCAGTCAGACCCCTCCTACTCCCCGGGCCCCGCCCACCCCCGCGCCGGGCCCAGCTGCTCCTCGCTAGGGCCCCGCCCTCCCCAGTTCCCTGAACACAAACCTCGCTGAACTTTTCCTGAGCGCGGAGCCCTGAGAACCCAGCGGTGAACAAAACGCTGACAGCCCAGTCAGGGAGACAGACAGTAAACACATGCCCCCAAATATATAATCATGTAATTACAGGCTGTGGGAAGTGTTGTGAAAGGAAAACACACCGGACGATGTGGGTCTCCAGGGGTCCAGGGCGGACTTCCCCTGGGGAAGCTTCCCAGGCACATCTGGACCCGAGTCCTGGCGCTGCCACTCGCGAGGCGGGTGTCCTGAGCAGGCTGGGTGGTCCAGTTGGACCATGGGCTCTCGGATCCAAGTGGCTCGACTGTCGAGCCTGGTGTAAACTGGCACTTCCAAAGCGTAGTCTAGAAAGGTTAGAGCTTTAGCAGCTTCTTGGAATGCGTATTTATTTTTGTTTATACTGCTCTATTCTATGCCCACTCCTTGGAGGAATTGTTTTGATCTCTTGCAGAAGCTAGACTGGATTAGAATCCCGTCCGTGTGATCCAAAAGTGCCCTGTGCCTTATTACAAAGCTCAGCTTGCAAGGTCTTGGGATTTCCTGTGGGCCTTTCTCAGCAGCTCCAGGCCCCTTGGATCCCGGGCTGTGCGTTCGTCCTCTCTCTCTCTCTCTCAGACTCAACAGCACTGTCATCGTCGGCATCATAACTAACTCCTATGCAGTGTTTTTAGGGTGCTGGGCATTGAGCTAAGCTCTACGTTATTCATTCATTTTAATCCTCATACTCTGGCTCCTGGCAGGCACTTTATAAAACGTGTTGGTTAATAAATTAGACACAATGGAAGGAAAAAAAATCACTGATTTTTTTTTTCTAGGCACTTTTAGCTTCACAGAGGAGGTGACTTTGAGATGAATTTTGAAAGCGGAGTTCACCAAGCAGAGACGTTGGGATTCATCACTGGAGAGGAGCTGGGGCAGGTATAACAGGTGCATCAGATGTTCCAGGAATGGTGCTTAGGGAAGTGTGGCTGGATGTTAGGTACGGGCGTGCGGAAATATTGAAACAACACCAACCTGGATATATATAGCTTAAGCTCTACAGGTGGTTATCTTAATTTTGTGAATACATGCAACATACTTTATGGGGATTTCCAGAAACACTTTGGGGATTGTTGGAACTCAGGTCCTGCTGTAGCAAGTGGGAGCAACAGTCAGTCAAAGACGGGTTCTGGGTCTACAGATAAAACAAGGTTACTTATTTTTCTGCTGAGGAGTGGAAGCTTGGGTGATAAAATGTTAGAGGAATAAAAAAAAAGAATGTAGCTTCTTCCTCTCTCAGTACAGGGCGCACACAACTTGCGCTCTGTCTTTCTGCTGCTCCCAGCTCTTGGATACAGTGGACGACGCCATGGGTTTCGGAGACCTGAAAAGCCCTGCTAGCCTCCAGGTGCTCAACGACTACCTGGCAGACAAGAGCTACATCAAGGGGTATGTGCCATCACAAGCACATGTGGCAGTATTTGAAGCAGCTTCCAGCCCACCGCCTGCTGACTTGTGTCATGCCCTACATTGTTATAATCAGATCAAGTCTTATGAAAAGGAAAAGGCCAGACTGCCAGGAGTGAAGAAAGCTGTGGGCAGGTATGGTCCTGCTAATGTGGAAGACACTACAGGAAGTGGAGCTACAGATAGTAAAGATGATGATGAAACTGATCTCCTTGGATCTGATGAGGAGGAAAGTGAAGAAGCAAAGAGGCTAAGGTAAGAATGCCTTGTACAGTATGATCAAAGAAAGCCAAAAAAACCTGCACTTAAGGCTAGGCATGGTGGCTCATGCCTGTAATCCCAGCACTTTGGGAGGCCAAGGCGGGTGGGTCATTTGAGGTCAGGAGTTCGAGACCAGCCTGACCAACATGGTGAAACCCCATTCTCTACTAAAAACACAAAAATTAGCCAGGCGTGGTGGTGGGTACCTGTAATCCCAGCTACTCAGGAGGCTGAGGCAGGAGAACTGCTTGAACCCAGAAGGCAGAGGTTGCAGTGAGCCGAGATCATGCCACTGCACACCAGCCTGGGCAACAGAGTGAGACTCCATCTCCAAACAAAACAAAACAAAACAAAACCAAAAAAAAAAATGATAAAGTTGGAACAGATGTGCTGGAGGAGCAGATCGCTGCTTTTGAGGATTATGCATAGCCCATGGATGTGGCTCCTTTCAACAAGATCTAAAATCTATCCTGGATCATTGCACTTAAATAAAAGCTTGAAAGATTGAAAAAAATGTAGAGTTAGAGAAGCTGGAAATCTAATCTAGTTTTAGTCACTTATGCTGATTGGGTGACTTTGGGCAAATTTATTGAAGTCTCTGTAAAATGGGGATAATGCTAAAATCTACCTCATAAGGCCATGTATTTAACAAGACGGCAGAGCAATTGAGTGTTTTAAAAACACCCTACATATTTGTTTGTTGTTTTAATCACAACAGTATAGTCAGTCTTGTCTAATTCTTGCTAATATGTGGTAACCATTCTGTAACCTATGTTTCTTAAGTGACACCAACTTTAAATGCAGTCTTCATAACAGTTTTGGAACATTACACTCTAGATTTGTTCCCACCACCTGTGTGAGAACCCCCCCCCCCATTTCTCTCCAATTCCTCTGATTCATGGCCTTCCCTGAGACCTAGAGCCTTGCTTCTCAAGGTGTGGTCTGCAGACCAGCATCACTGCCTTCACCTGTGATTGGTTAGAAGCGCAGACTCTTGGCCGGGTGCAGTGGCTCACGCCTCTAATCCCAGCATTTTGGGAGTTTGAGGCAGGCGGATCACCTGAGATTGGGGATTGAAGATCAGCCTGGCCAACATGGAGAAACCCCATCTCTACTAAAATACAAAATTAGCCGGGCATGGTGGCACATGCCTGTAATCCCAGCTACTCAGGAAGGCTGAGGCAGGAGAATCACTTGAACCCGGGAGGTGGAGGTTGCGGTGAGCCAAGATCGCGCCATTGTACTCCAGCCTGGGCAACAAAGAGCGAAACTCCATCTCAAGAATAATAATAACAATAATAATAACAGATAGTATTTATTGATTGCTTACCATGAGCCTGGTGTTATGCTAAGCACTTAATATACATTGTCTCATTTTGGGGGCACATTTCTTTTTTTTTAAATTTTAGCCATTCCAACAGGTACATAGTCAGAGTCATGTATTTCTCAAACCTCTTTAGTGGATGCCATTGGTTCAGTGGTCACTATTGGTTGCCTACCCAAAATTTGTGTCTACAACTTTCTTTCCAGCAGATTCCTATTTTCTCACGTCTCCACTCCTCACCATGGGCTTTGGGGAGAGCTGACCTGAGCCCTGATTCCGTGTAAAGGCTTTTATTAGCTAAGGGTAATCCCACTCCCCTTGATAATTGGTTCAGGAATGGGCAGATGACCCAATTCTGTCCAAAGAGTCTTCAGGTGGTCTGTCGGAAGGTTTCTTACTCTTAAGAGGGAGTTGCAGGGAAAGGTGATCTTCTTGGCTGTTGTCATGTCTGGATGTTATGCTTGGAACTTCTGCCATTTGGCTACTAGTTTCAGGGTGAAGTTCTCTTTGGAGTGAAGGAGCAGAGCGATGCTTCCTTACCAGCGTGGAGCCGCTAGACCAACCCTCTGGGCTTCCAGGTGTTGTGAGATTCGCTTCTTATATAAGCTAGACTGAGTGAGGTTTCTGCTCCTTGCTTTTTTGTTTTTGTTTTTTTTTTTTTGAGGTGGAGTCTCACTCTGTCACCCAGGCTGGAGTGCAGTGACGAGATCTCAGCTCACTGTAACCTCCGCCTCCTGGGTCCAAGGGATTCTCTTGCCTCAGCCTCCCGAGCAGCTGGGACTACAGGTGCCCACCACCATGCCCGGCTAATTTTTGTATTTTTAGTAGAGACGGGGTTTTACTATGTTGGCCAGGATGGTCTCAATCTCTTGACCTCATGATCCACCTGCCTCAGCCTCCCAAAATGCTGGGATTACAGGCATGAGCCACCACACCGGCCTCTCCTTGCTTTCTAACAGATATAATTTGCTCTAGATTTGGCACCCAGCAACCTCTGTGGGACGTGCTGGTCCCCAGAAGACACAGCTACTTCTTCCTGGAGGCTTTCCCTATGGGGTTCTCATAAAGGAAAGCTTCTCTCTCCATTCGCCAAGGCTAATGGAATGGAAAAGGAAGGAAGGGATTCTCCTGGAGGTAAGCACTGCCTCTTCTATTCGTTATCTGTGTGACCCTCGGCAAGCACTTTCTCTCCTTGAGACTTCGTTTTCTTATGTGCAGATTGTGGGGCCAAGGATCCCAACTTGCTTCCCAGGGTGTTGGTGAGATTCCAGGGAGACGCTGGGAGGGCAAGTTTTCATCACCAATCAAGGGCCTGCAAATCCAGGGCTGACACTGCTCGTGGACGCGCTTACCTCACAAAGTTGGTCAATGCCAGAGTTGGGGCTGGATCTAAGTCTCCTGACCCCCAGAGCAATGTTTTTTTCCATCATAACCTGACTCAGCCTCTGCCCTAAGGGGTCATCTATTTTCTGTCTTTTTCTTCCTCAAATGCAAGGCATGAGCATGCCCTGAAGTATAACTGTGTCAGAGTTTCTGGGGCATTTCTTTCAAATCGACCATTTCCACCCCCAACTTGGCGGGTCTCATCAGGGCCCAGCTTGGCCGAGCCTGGCGTTGTAATGCATTGGCCGGGATGGGCCTTTGTTGCCTCTTTGGGCTGCAGCCCCCCTCCCACCCCACCCCTGTCGGCTATAGCCACTTTTGCTCGTTTCTCTTGGGAGCTGCCTAGCTGCAGAGAAAGGCCTTTGGAACCCTTCTCTTTTCAGCCATCCTTTATTGAATTTCACCTCCATTTTTTTTCCTTTCCAAATAGGAACATCATTTATCCAGGACTTTAAGTTGCAGAGGTCTTCAAGAGCTTTCTCTTTCCCAGCTGCATTTGTTGACACACAGTCAATCTGTTTCTTGCCTCCATCCCCTTCCCCCCGCCCCACCCCCCACGCAGGCCATAAAGTGCCTACAGCTGTGCCCTTTATTACCCTTCCCTTTCTATGCCCACGAGGGGGACGAGCTGAAATATAGCACAGCCATTACTGCTAACAAAAAGGGACAATTTTAAAGCATTTCTGCTTTTCATAAGGGAAGCTGATGGCACAAAAAGAAAATACATCATTTTATTGTAAATGTTTTTAAAATATGGGTCACTTGGCCATAAACAGCCTCCAAAGTCAGACAAGTTTAAAGCGAAAGCAGTCACATAGATAGCAGTTTTTTCCCCTTGCCTTTTAAATTACGCTAATTGACACCAAGAAAAACAGGGAGGCGGTAGCTCCTACCAACCCACACACTCGGTCTCCAACTCCCTCCTCTCTCTACAGTGAAGAGCATGGGAAATGTTTGCCAGGCCAAGAATGGTGCCCCCATACTAAGAAGCCCTTTTTACTTCTGTTTCAGCAAGTATTAAGACTAAGAGGCTTGTGGTCCGGTCTTTCAGGATGGGATGGTTTTCCCAACCCTGGTGGGAAGGAAACTCTCATGTTTGCTGAAAAAATTCCAAAGGAGGAAGGCTGCCTGACAGCTCCCTGGTGTGTGTCTGGGCTGGCTGGGTCTGGCCAGGAGCGGAGGGTCTGGGTGGAACAGATATGCTGGTAGGGTAGGCAAGGGAAGTGGTTGCTCTTCCAAAGGGGACACTGTGTCAGTGATTTTGAAGATAAATGGATGTGATGGTTGTTGGGACTATGGTGAGAGATTAGAGGTAGCAGAAAGAAACATACCATATTCAGATTGATGGTCAAAGGGTGTGCCCTTGCCACCCACTCCTCTGCAGCCCCCACCCCTGTGTTACCGCCTCTTATAGTGTGAACCAGGCACTGCCTCTGGGAAAGGAAGTAGGGCTTGAGAACAAGATTTGAGCCACAGGAAATAGGACCAAGTTTCTAACGCAACTGGAATGAGGCGGGCTGGATTATCCACTCCTGAGAACCAGCTGTCTACATGATACAAAGGATTGAGATGTGGAATCCAAAGAGCTGGACTCAAGTTCTGGCTTTCCAGTGCTCTAGTTCCGTGAACACAACCTCTCCGAGCCACAGGACCCCAGTCTGAAATGAGGATGACAGTGGAGAAACTTCCACCACACAACACTGCTATGGGCAGTCAATGAGCTCATGTGCGAGATGTGAATCTGGCAGGTGTTCAATGGTCAAGGAAAATATTTGATGAAACTGATTCTGAACCAGGAGGTGGGGCCCCAGGATATGCTATCTGGGCTATATGGATGGCTAGACAGATTTCCAAGACATTCAGATTCAAAACTAGAAATGGTGTCAAGGGATGCTTAGAAAGTGTCCCTAGATGGAGATGCATGAAGAAGAGGCATATTGGATCAGGGTGCTGAGTCCTTTGGTAGGTAGAGGGCATGGCTTAGAATCTGCCAATCTGCTTTTGATTCCAAATCTACTGCTATGTAGTTAAGTGACCTAAGCTTCTCAGCCACCACTTCCCATCAGTACATTAGGAATAAAACCAGTGGGATGACATAAGGTTGTTGTGAGGACTAAAATGAAATTAATCATACAACGCTCTTAGTGCATCAACTGTCGAAAAGTGAGCGAGTAAGTTGGAAGATGTAAGAAGAGATGAAGTGGACGGGAGGAGGGGGAAGGATTGGGAGGTGACATTGGTGAGAGATAAGGAGGAGGAAGAGGGGAGGAGAAAGGAGAGAGGGAATGAGGGACAGGGAAGCATCTCAAACCAGTCCTCCATTTCTCACCTGCAAGTTCTCAGGATAAAAGAATAACAAAATTGCAGTAAGTTACTCT